GCTTTTGTTGTTTGTTTGTTTTTCTCCCAGAAGTAGATCATTGGGTCTTTCTTCCTAGTCTGTCTTAGTCTAGGAGCTTTGCCTGTCCACCATTGAATAGCACTGCTGGGGTTGAAATGCTGGTGGCAAAGCTTCCAGAATCCTCGTAGCATTGTGGTCACCTTGCTCGGACAAACTGATAGATAATTGGTTGGTCCATTGAGGATCAGTCACCTGTGCCCTTTGCTACGGAGTCAACTCCAACTCTTGGAGGCCCCATGCGCGGCATCAGAGTAGAACTCTGCCCAGGCGAGTACTTGGCAATTGGTCTTTCAGAAGTACATCACCAGGCCTTCATTCCTAGGATTCTCTGGTGGTCTTGAACCCCCAATCTTTTCATTAACAAGTGGCAGTGTGAACCTTCTGTACCACCCAGAAACTCTACCAGTCACCTCTTCAAGGACTAGGATTGAATCTTTAAAACATACTGCTCTGAAGGGGCAGAGGCTTAGACCAGAACACTAGAGGTGTGGCATGGAGACCAAGGGAAGGAGCAAAGGTGCCAGGCCTAATCCAGAGGCTGAGGCAAGGAGACCATGAGACAGAACAGAGGAGCATCACTCCGTAGGCTGCTTCGAGACTATGAGACTGTGAGGCAGAGGAAGTAGCAGGCTGGCTTGCTGGCCCACAGAAGCAGAAGCCAAGGTACCAAGGCTTGCAGACCAGAGAATGACTTGGCTGTGGGGTGCAAGAGAGGTATTTCCGTGGACCATTGACTGGCTCCTTAATGTTTTCTGATCCTGGATTGTGGTAACCTGTTAAGCCCCCTTACTAGTGAAACAAATAAAGATAAATATACTGCTCTTGCTGCTGTCCATTGTTGGCCAGTTGATTCTGACTCAACCTGACTCTATGTGTGCTGAGAAGAATAGCACCATTGGGTTTTCAAAGCTGTGACCTCTTGGAAGCAGATCTCCAGATCTGAGCAGATTTGAACGGACAACATTTTGGCTAGTGGTCTAGTGCTTAATTTTATGCACCACTGTGGCAGTTCTATAATCTCCTGTCAACTTGTGAAGGGGTGGAGTCTAGCCTGTCAATCAGGCTGCAGCTTGATGACCTCTTTTGAAGGCAAGAAGGAGATAAATAGCTCACTGGAGGCCAGCTACGTGTTCTGCTTCATCTTTCTGCTGACAAGCCACATGGAGCTACACTGATGCAGCCAGATCCCAGGAACTGGAGGAGCCATGTGGAGACCCACGCCAACCCTGAGATGCTTCCACCACCACTGGATCCACAAGACTTCCCACCTACTGGCCTGTGATCTTCCTGCATTTGGTGTCATTGCTGTGTTGCATGAGTCTGAAGAGAACATTATGGACTGGTATTGGTCACATCGAACTTATGGACTTGATCTAGACTGGGCTGGGTTGTTTTCTTAATATACAATTACTCTCTGATATAAAGTTCTCCATTACACATATGAGTGTCTATGAAATTTGTTTCTCTAGTCAACCCAGACTAACACAACCACCCAGGAAATCTTTGAGACTTGTTTGGGGGTTCTAGCAGGGGAGCACAGCTACTCGTACAGCCTTGATCAAAGGATGGTCCTCCTTCTATCAGGGAAGGCTGCCCTCTTCAACCGAGGGTGCAGCTTCGGGAGGGACGCACATGGAGTGGTAAGGGAGAAAGGGGACACCTGCCTAGTCAGCCATGTCAGCAGAATCAACCCTGGTGATCAATGGGGTGACAGATGCTGCAGCCAGATCACCCTCACATCTGACCCAGGGAATACTGGAAAGAGTTACATTTAAAAAATTGTTCTGTGTGGATTTTTTGTTGTTAATGATACTGAGAAAATCCTGTAGTACTCTTTTCCCCCCATAAAATATTAGCATATAACTGGTTTGAGAGATCTTTGTTTATCTCCTTCCTAGGAATAAATATTGCAATTCCTGGTTTGACAGGGGATCCTGGTTGCAAAGAGATGCTTTTGGGGTGGTTGCAGGAACAACATTTGGATTTGTTGACATGGGCAGTGGGCTGTCCAATCTGTCCAGCTGAGATGTGGAGAGAGATCACAGATTGGCCATGGTGGCACAGCTAGCCAAGGATGAAATGGGGTTCCCCCCTCTGTGACAAATCACCCCTTCCCAGTCTCCGCGTTTGGAACCCTGAGACGAGAATATTGATTCCACAGCAGTGGGCACTTCACTTCTAAGACTGCTTCATGCCCATTGGTTTGTCATTGCATAGGCCCGCTGTTTCTTGGAAAAGCATTTCTGCAGAGAGAAACAATATAGCCTTGGCAGAGCATAAACTGATACATGTATTCCTTTTTAATATATATTTCAATATCTCCTACCTGAGGTCTTCTCTGATGGTTTCCATCAAAGGTGGTTAATCCTTTGTCCACACTGCCAATCCAAAGGTCTTTGTATACCCTACGTCACTTATCAAATTATAGTATTGTCATACAGCAGCGTTACTTCATATTAGTGCAGCATAGGCTCTAGCCTGACTAAAGCCTAAGGCTCTGACTTCAGAAGAATGGGGATTTGCATCGTTGCTCAGCCACTTAAAAGCTATGTGATTTGGGCGTGATTAGGAACCTTGTTTCTTCATCAGGAAAATGGAGATCGTGGAATGTAGCCCTCAGATGATGCATATAGCAAAGAACAATTTTCAAGTAAATATTAGCTGTTACTGTTATTGGAGAAAGACCAGGCTTTCTACTCGCATAAAGAGTTACAGTCTTGGACACCTGCAGGAGCAGTCTGCCCTGTCCCATAGGTAGGGTGGCTATGAGTTGGCATTGACTGAGTGGCAGTGAGTGGGTTTGGGTTGGTTACTGTTATTATTAGCACTCCGATTAATCTGTAAGCTTTTTTAGTAGCCCCCTGGCGTAGGGCCCGATACAAAACGATGTTTGTGCACTGCTGTGTGCTGCTGAGTTGATTCTGACTTACCGGGACCTGAGTGGACAGAACAGAGCTCTTTCACTGCCTGGAATCATCTGGAAGCAGATTTCCAGCCCTTTCCTCTGTGGGGCTTTTATCCTTCCAGTGACTGGGAATCGCTGTCCTTTGGGTTAGGGGTCAAACTCTTAACCAATGGGATACACAGACTTCTTTTACGCACAATGAGCCATCAAAAAATGCCTTTTGAATGAGTGAAGGAGTTATTGGCCTTTGAGATATGAAACTTCAACAATGGACAGAATGAGAAACTCCCGAGGGAGCTTTGTAAGAACTCAAGAAGCATTTGGCGCTATTCTAGGGGCACGATACGCAGTAGCACTTGGTTTACCCTGAACAACCCCGAAAGGGGGGTGTTCATCACCTTGTGTTATCGGGGAAGGAAGCCAGGGTTCAGGGTTTCAGCCAGATGTCCAAGGTCACATCTAGAGTATGGGGTGAGATGGAAAGGAAGAAATCGTCTTGCTGTGCACCACACACCCAGGCTGGGGTGACCTTTTCCTTTCATGTTTCATGATCTGTGTTCCTTGGGGAGGGCTCGGTTGCCCCTCTCACCTTGCCTGGGTCCTCAGCACTAGTCTAAGGGATGCCTGGTCCCACATGGTCAAATATGGCCAGTCTAATTATTTGACCATTTAAAAAGCTAATTTGTTGACTGCATGCTTAATCCAATCAATTGTGTGATAATCAGCTCTCAAAATGGCCAACACCACAACCCCCCAAGAGCTTGGCAGACCCATTGGTCACAGGAGGTAGGAGGGGATGGGAGGGGTCAGTGGGGGGCGGGGGCAGGCGCGGCTTTGTGTCATCACACAAAGAAGGCCATCCAAGGAAGCCAGGAAGAAGAGCTTCTTTTAAAATCCCCATTTCTACACTCTTTTGTTCTGTTTGGGGGTTCCTTTTATATTTTGCCCATTTTCTGTTTTGAAATGGGAAGTTCTTTTGATATTCTTTAGATCAAAGGCAGTGACAAATTCACCTCTGTCAGAATACAGCTGTGTATGAATTTACGAGGAAAAGCAAAAAGGAAAATGAAGTTTGCCGAACAGTTTATATATATATATAAATATACTTAAGTAACTGTAGTGTATACTGAATAAAATGAGTACAGATCATGATGGGAGAAAGTCTTTTCTTAGCCAGACACAAAACCCAGAAGGTATAAAGATAAATATTGGCAGGCCTGGCTGCATAGAAGTAGTCTAATTTTAACATGGCAAAAGACACAACCAAACAAAGTCAGCAGCAGCATCTAAACATATTTTCCACATACAGGAAATACTTTAAAGCCGTATTTGCCTATAATTAAAGGAACCCTGGTGGTGTCATGCTTAAGTGGTTGGCTGTGGATCTGAAAGGTTGTGGGTTCAAGCCCACCATTGACTTCAAACTACCAGGAGCCCCAAGGTAGAAACGTATGTATGGCAGTCTGCTTTCATGAAGAGGGCACCGTTGGGGACCCTGTGAGGCAGTTCCACTCTGCCCCATAGGGTACCTAGAAGTTGGTGTATTGCTATATCCTCAGTGGTAATGGGATGTGGACTTCTTTTGGTCTTGTTTGTAACTAGCATTTACAAATCAATAAGGTATTTGTGAACACACAAAAAGGTGGACAAAGGAGAAGAGCTTGCTAGTCATAAAAGAAAAATGACAATTATGAATATAAACAAAGGGTAAGGTACTTAACCTGAAAGCTACATGCCTAGAAATTAAAATATGTCATCTTTTTATTATTGAAGGAGAGCTTGGGGGGTACTCATTGGCTGCTAACCACAAGGTCGGTAGTTTGAAACCATCAACAATTACTTCTTCAGGAGAGAGACAAGACTTCCACTCCCATAGAGAGGTGCAGTCTTGGACACTCACAGGGACAGTTCTGTTGTCCTGTAGGGTTGCGATGAGTCGGCATCAACTTGCAGGCAGTGAGCTTGAGGTTTATTGTTAGGCTTCGACAGTGTTTCTGAAGAACAGTGTATACCTTTACAAGCGTTGTCTGGCCCACTAAAGAGACACTCAGGGGAAAGTTGTTTTTCTTTTTTATAGGGGAGAGCATGAACGCAGTCCCCCACTCCCACAAATCATGCAGTGGAGTTTCCGCATTGGGGAAATCGCAGGGGTCAGCACACCCGCAGAGCAATGGGTGAGCCTCGCCCTGGGAAAACCACCTTCCTGATCCTGGTGTCTCCCTGCCAGGGAAGTCTGAGGGGAAGTGTTTGTAAGGAAATGACAGGGCTTCGGGTGAGAGCTCTCCTTTCTTGTTGCATTTCCCCACATTCCTGCTATCTGAGAGTCTTGGCCAAGTAACATTGGCCAAAGGCACCCAGGGGTCAGGAGGAAAATCCAGAATTGGGGCATTACATTGACAAGGGTCAGAAAGAAATATTGGTCCATTGGAATTTCTGCAAGGGAGGTGAGTGGATACTTAGCTCAGCAGTTGCACTCAGTGGGGTATGTGGACCAGAGGGGTGGGTTCAAAGGGCAGCTGGACCACTTGCTATTGAGTTACTCTGGGCAAATGTTTCACTCCATCTGAGCTTCAGACCTCTTGCTTGTTCACACATACTTTTCATCAAGCAATGCATATACCACTACGATAAGCTTAAGAGGGATGGGGCTCATGTCTGTTTTGCTTACCCACTTATACATAAGGTGTAACAGGTTCTGGAATACAGGAGGCTACTTGTTGAATGACTCTGTAAGACAAAAGAGTGATGGAGCCGGAAGCATTGTGAGAAGGAGAGAGGATTACCCATCTGCTGGATCTAGAAAGAAGGACAGACAATAAGGAAAGGTAGTCTATCACCACGCTAGGAGAAAGGAGGGCACAATTTCCAGAGGAGTAGCAAATCCTCTGATTACTTCCGTGGGTTCTGCTACAGGGCACGTGAGGGCCAGGAGAGGGCTGAATGGCGCTGAATGACTGTAGACTGCATGTAGAAAGGATGACTCACTGCTGCCCAGCCAATTATGACTCCTGGTGCCCCTATGAGTAGGCTAGGGGAACACTGTAGGACAGAGTAGACCTGGCTGAGTGCATTTCTGAGGTTGTAAATCATTACAGGAGCAAACAGCCTCCTCTTCCTCCCTCGGAGTGCCTGGTGGCTGTAAACTGCAGTCCTTTCGATTAGCAGAACAAACAAAGATCTATTTGCGTTACAAAGAACAAATATCCTACCCACAATTTGGCTAAGAAAAGAACCCCCTAACCAGGTGACACAATCATAATGCTCTGTTTTCGTATTTGTCTTTGTGTCATATGTCTCTTGGGAAAAGTCCACCCCGAAGGTGCCCAGAAGCAGGAGCACCTGAGACTTGGCTCGTGTACTTTGGGCATATCATCCGGCGAGACAAGGGCCTAGAAAAGGATGGCATGTTCGGGAAGGTAGAAGCCGTTGAAAAATAGGAAGACCTTCCATGGAATGGATGAACACGATGGTCCAACGCTGGGCTCAACCATAATACTGTTGGTGAGGATGGGGCAGGACCAGGCAGCATTTCTTCATCGTAACATGTGTGAGACCCGAGCCCCAGGCTCCCGACAACACCAGCAGTGTCTGGTTGGATATGAACGTAGATGCTGCTGGACGAATAGATGCCAAACTCTCAGCAGGGGGTTCTCCTGGAAAGGCTATTATGTGGGCTTTTCTTTTCTTTTCTCTTGCTTTACTTTCTTTTTATCTCTGGAAAGGCTACTACTTTTACTGGAATCTCATTCTTCTCGGGTTTGAGTGCTTCGCAAAGTTCACTCACTGCTTTCATGATCAATGAAAGTAATTGGAAGCCCACAGTATGACTATTGCTCACCGCTAGATGATCAGGTCTAAAATTAATTTTAATGAACCAAAGGAAATTTTGCCTTTCCTCTTCTGTGCTGCTTCTTTTCTCTTCTCTTTTGAAAATAAGTATGAATACAATTTTGTGATAGAAGAAGGGAGATATGTTTTCTGGAAAATCTTCTAGGTAGAGAATGTTTTGTCTTTCTTTCCAGCATACTTGTCTGCTTGTTTTGTTGCAGGAAAGAAAGACAGGAGTACCACAAGGATCATAAATCTCCTACTGTTAAACAGGAGGAGTTAAGATTCGTGAATTATCTCCCCTGTCCAAAATTCCTTCTAGAATGGAATCAAAATCCAATCAAATACTATTCTTATTTCCTACAATTTTGAGATAAATTAGTCTCTTTTGAGAAATCTAAAATCCAGGGCTCCATAGATATTCAGATAATAATGGGGAGGGGGGAACAGCAGTTGGAAAAATCTAGAAAAGAACAAGTAATTAACAAAAGTAAGCCTCAAAGCTGTATTCCTTTGCGTCTAAGCAGTCTGCGTCTCCAGAGGGGACACTACAGGGAGCTACTATCTGGGGTTTCCATTTGTAAAACTTACCTTTTCAGCCCTGATGTGATTCGAAGCAGATGTCCAAAAGACATACCTCTGACCCTTATCTATGTTTATAATTATTTCACATGTACTGGGCTATACAAAAAGGTCCATACAAAGCCTAGATTGTTTTAGCGAATTGTCGGACTGGTGCCTATGGTCCCCTTGATGGGTCTAGCAGGGTTGGCTCTGTGCCAACCAAGCCTCTCAGAAGCTGGCTAGACCAGAGGATGTACACTGGTACAGATAGGAACTGAAAATCCAGGGAATCCAGGATGGATGAGCCCTATAGGACCAGTGGTGTGAGTGGCAAAACAGGGAGGGTAAAGGGAGATTGGGTAGGAAAGAGGGAACCGATTACATGGAACTCCCTGGGGGACAGACAACCGAAAAGTGGGTGAAGGGAGACGTTGGACAGGGCAAGATATGACAAAATACCCATTTATAAACTATCAAGGGCTCATGAGGGAGGGGGGAGCAGAGAGGGAGGGGAAAAATGAGGACCTAATGTCGGGGGTTTGAGTGGAGAGAAAATGTTTTGAGAAACGTACAAATGCGCTTTACACAATTGATGTGTGTATGGATTGGGATGACAGTTGTATGAGCCCCTAATAAAATGTTAACAAAAAAAAATGACGGGGGTGTGTGATGGGGAGATTGGATAGTGAGCATGTTGACACCTCCAGACTTCCAATGAACAGTCCTGGGTTATTGGTCCATAGAATTATCTGCATAGCTATATTATACAATGCTTACATGCAACTCTCAATAGTGCTGATTAGCTCGAATTCCCTTTGACGCACACAAAGCCATCTTTTAAAAGCCAGAAGATAAGAAGCCGACCAGTAGATGTCTCTGCGGTGCTTCAGTTGGACCACCCTAGCCGCAGATGCCTGAGGGCTCCAAAATGCAATGACAGAAAGATTTTTGTGTCGTGTTATGGTTGAGGAGTGGAGCCTTCTGCCTTAAAATATACTGTTCAAAAGGGTTTTCTATCTTATTTAAAGATACATCTAGCCACTAACATCTGCACTTTTGATGGCATCTAAAATATCATGTTTTATTTACAAAAACGAATGTTTTTTGGTCAAATGTTCATATAAAAAATTTCCAAAGCATATCTCAAGTGAGAGACATCCATCCTGATTTTCAGGGGTGGGGGGGGGGATGGGGGGGTGGTCTATCATTTACTGCTCTCAAACCAAACTGGCTGCCATTGGGCCAATTGTGACTCAAAGTGACGCTATAGCACCGAGTGGAACCACCTCTGGGGCTTTCCAAGCCGTCAATCTTGATGGAGCAGAAAGGCTCATCATGGTTCTCTCACGGAGGGCTGTCAGGTGACACTGTGCAGCCCATTACACCAACGGGGCGCTTATGTTTACTGTGAAAGATTTCAATTCTTGCAAAGCAGGATGTAGCCCTCCGGAAGAAAACACGGCCACAAAAGACTTATCCCTGGCAGTATAGACAACAGCTCCCAGAGACCCCAGGGGCCTGCTCTGGGCTAGTGTCCTCTCCTCCCAGGTCCCTTTCCCCCAGATGGAAGTGTGGGATCCTGGGTGGTCCAACAGTTAGTAACATGCTCGACTGCTAAGCAGGTTCCAGTCGACCCAGAATAAGTGAAGCTTGGCAGCCCACTTCCTAAATCGCTGTTGGAATCGGTACCAACTCAGAGCGACCCAATGCACAGCAGAACTAGACACTGCCTGGCCAGACGCCGTCCTCGCAGTTGTTCTGAAGTCTGCCCCCTTGTGGCAGCCATGCGTCACTTCACACATCTAATGCTCACAGATAGAACCCTGGTCTGCTTTAGAGGCAACACTATCAGGTTCTTGAGACACCTTTTGCAAGTTAAGAATGTAGGTTATTTCACTAACACCAAGATAAAGCCATCATCGTGAATTTATTTTGTAGATAGAATTATTTTTGAAGAGAAATCACTACAGAGCATGACCTGCTTGCTCTCCATGAATGGGAGAGAAAATACAAACCCTCTTTAAACTGGGGCTATGTTCCTGAAAGACGGAACACATTTACTTCCCTTTGGGATAGATATACACATCATACATATATATATCGTCATTCTTTATATATATATATGATTCCTGTGGTGCTCCTCAGAGGAGGTTAAAATTTTTTTCTCAATATTTAGTTGAGTAAGTAATGATTCCATTATGTCTGGTCAGTAAATGTGATCTTTTAAATCAATATTTTTGGTTCACTAATACTTTATTGATATTTTTATAAAATGACCAGGGAGTATGCTTTATAGCCTGAGTAGAAATCATCAACCAGTTTATTGGTGGGGAGGAGGAGGAAGCTATAATCTATTTAAATTAAAATAACTCTGAAAAAATAGGCAAAAGCTGTTGCCCTAATTTTTTTCTAATTTCATTATCCTTTTGCCGTTGACAATACATACAGCAGAACATAGGCCAAGGCCATATTTTCTACACACAGAGTGGTAATCAACACATTTTATAGATTCACATACAGTTGTAAGAATGAATACAGTGAGATTCTGTGTGCCTTTTTTTATCCAATTTCCCCAAGGATGACACTTTGCAAAATGGTGGTATAACAACTGGGAGAGTAACACTGATGTGATCCAGATGCATCCAGTTTTGTTACTATGCGTGTGCACCATCGATGTCTGTGACGAATCATATATGAGCATGTGCAATTCAATCACCTGTATAGGTCTGTAGAGGGGCCCTTGGTGACAAAGGGTGTCCGGCTACTAATCACAGGTCTGTAGTTTGAAAAGACCAGCTGCTCTTGGAAGAAAGACAAGGTTTTCGGGGCCATCACAGGTGCCT